CAGCTTCCCCCTCTCCCAGGGCTCACGCGGGGGCCGAGTGTCACACGCAGCTTCCCCCTCTCCCAGGGCTCACATGGGGGCTGAATGTCACACACAGGACACTGGGGTTGGTGTCTCCCTCAGGAGCTCTTGGGCCAGGGCTGTCACCTGGGTCCCTGCTGTGGGCCCCCAGTGGGCACGTGGGGTGGGTGGGGTGGTGGCGGGGGTGTGTGGGAGATAAGCCCCACTCTCTGGGCCCAGGCAGCCTCCTCCAGGAAGGCAGAGGATGGCACCTTTGAAGTGCCAGGAATCCCTGCCTGCCTGCTCTGGCTCCCAGTGATGGCAGTGGAGGGGTACAGGGGCATCCAGGTCAGGCACCATCACTGACCTCTGGGGACATCCAGGTAGGGGTGGGGTCAGCTGCCCTTCCAGGATGGGTCAGGGGCCAGGGTCCCAGGAGCTGAGCTGAGGATGGTGTGGTCGCTCCTTCCAGAGGCCCTCCAGCTCCCCTCAGCCCCATGCATCTTGGTGCTGCCTTGCACACAAGGGACACACATGGTCACGAGTGCTGTTGGCAAGTCCAGCTCTGCTGCCCTCCAGGGCCCCAGGCCCAGTGAGAAGGAGCTGAGGGATCTAATTCTCCGATTCGTGGCCACATAATCTCCCTCAGCCAGGAACCCCAGAGCTGCCCACCCTCCCCCGCTGCCAGCCCCAGCCAGGCCTGGCTGCGGCAGGCCCTCCCGACCGAAGGGTCGCACCGAGGCCTCCAGCCAGCCCTGCAAGCTGTAAGGCGTCTGGGTCAGGTGTGTGCCGCTGGTCCAGGCCTGTGCTGTGTGGGTGGGCACGGGTGCAACTGCAGCCAAAGGTGCTTTCCACACATGGTCATCTTCCCATGGGGGTTCACGGGTCCCCCAAAATGGTTTTCAGAAAAGCTCTGTCTCGGAACACAGGAATAAGCAGTCCCCATGCTCACCTGCCTGCTCCACCTTGTGTGGTGGGGGGTGGGGAGGGGGACAGATGAGAGAGAGAAAGAGAAAGGGGAGAGAAAATAGAAAATAGGAAAGTGAACTGACTCCAGCGGCAGCAGCTGCTAAGGCTCCATGGCTCAGGCCCCGCCACGGTGCGCAGAAGGCTGGATCCGGTGGCAGCCCCGGCACGCTGCGGAGAAGGCTGGATCCGGTGGTAGCCCGGGCACACGCTGCAGTGGAGTTCCTCTAAGTCCCAAACCCAGCAAGCCTCCAGCAGGCCCCGTGCACCGGGAGGCCCAGTTCTGGCCCCTGAGTGCGGGGCTCCCAGGCGCCTGGGGTGGGGGTAGGGGGCAGGGAGAGTGACACAGCTCCCTGCCCGCCGCTCCCACCCCAAAAAGGCTACCTCTGATCTGGGCTTCCAGAAAACGCTGGGTCCTGTACTTTCTCAGCCAGGAGAAAGGCTCTGTGCAAAGGGCTCCTGGGGGCGGCAATGGTGAAAACTAAGGTGCCCCATGTCCTCTGCTCTTTACAACTTCGGACTACGAAAAATGAGCCAGCAGATTCCCGTCCGAGAATGTGCCCAAGGCAGGCTCCCCGCCCCTCCTTGGGGAGAGGTGGCCTCTGTGAGCGAAGGCCCCGGCCGGGCGGCTGAGCCACTCAAGGCTGGCTGGAACCCGACTGTCCCTGCCGACGTAGTCTCTTCAATTCCATCTTCCGCCCCACACTTCTTTAATTCCCACCAGCATATTCCTCCGCAGAGATGCCTTCATGGCCAGCTCCCCTGCTGGGATTCTGCCTGAACTCCCACAGAGACCCGAAAGCAAAGGGGGAGGCCGCAGGGACCGACAGGGACTCGCGTTCCTCCAGGTCTCTCCACTTGAAATGATACAACAATCTCAGGAGACTCACTCACAGATAATTCCGTCCCGTCCCCAGAAAGAACCTCTGTTTACCCCCAACGGAAAAGCAGCATAGCCCCCTCCCAAAAAAGGCAAGCCTGGGGAGCCCTTGCAGGCCAGAAGTCCTCTCTCCAAATTTGCAAACCACGGACCCTCGCCTGCCTCTCCTCAGGCAGTGAAGGGAGGGAACCATCAACTAAACGTCCTGCAGCCGCCCTGGGGGTGAGATTTCGGGGGTGCTGCCTCCTCCCCGGTGCTCCCAGCCCATGCCCAGCCAGCCGTTCAGAGGAACGAGGGCAGGCTGCGCCTTCAGGTGGGAGACGGGCGGACTCCGAGGGCTGGGGACAGTTCTGGCCACCAGGATGCAGCGGGGCATCCCACCAAGGACACCTCCTGCCTTGCACCCGCAGTCTGCCTCAGTGACTCTCCCCAAAAGCCCCTCGGTCTTTCCTTACCAAGGGCAGACGCAGAGGGCACAGGTCTGCAGGGTAAGGGCCGGCTGACGGTGCCTCGCTGCTCAGTTTCTCCCTGGTCCTGCCGTCACCCAGGGCCGCACAAAGCCCAATGCAGGGCCCTCCTCTTCCTTCGATTCAGGGAGAAACACAGCAAAACTGAAAGCCACCGACAAACAGCCAGGCTGCAGTGACTTGGATCTAAACGGATTTATTTTGTGTATTTTTTTCTTTTTCTCAGTTTCGTAGCAAATGAAAAAAGAACTCAACGAAAACCAACTACACAACAAAACTTTCAACAAGTGGGCACACCTTCCACTCCGAGTGCTCAGGGGAGGGGTGTGGACCGGCTGGAATCCCAGTGATGGCCCCTGAGGGCCCCGGAAAACCGGGCGGATCCCCCAGGCGCCTGGCCCAGCCTACAGGGCCAGGAGCACCCGCCTCCTCGCCCTCTCTCCCAGCTAGTCCAAAAAGCCATGAAGCGTTAAAGAAAGATTCCACAAACAAAACGAAATACAATTTAAATTAAAATAAAAACACTTTCTCCACCCGCCTCATGCCAGGAGGCTCTGGCCCAAGCCTCCTCTTAAAAAAATTTTTTTTTTTTTCTGCTAGAAATACTGTGCATTACTTTTTTCTTTCACTTCTCTTTAAGATTAAAATAAGATACATTTCCCCAGGAATCATAGATATGTTCTGGTGCATAGAGAGACAGCAGCTCGGGGTCCGGGCCAGCCCCCACCCGGCTGAGCACAGGACCCACCCCCCCTCCCCCCACCGTTGAGCATAGGACAGCAGGCTGGACACAGCACAGGTGACGTCCCTGGTTTCGACCTCCAGGGAACGCCGGTAGCAGGGTCGGGGGCAAGCGGGGAGGGGGCAGGCAGGGGCAGGGCCCCTCCTGGCGAGCGACTCATGCTGCACTCGCGACTGAGGGCGGACCCCGGCTGGGGAAGGAAGAGGCTTCCTCCAAGGCTTTCTTTTCTAATCACCAAGCATAATAAAGATAAATACTTCGAAAATAAGACCGATTTTAAAAGGGGGAGGGGAAGTTTAAAAAGGCAAGGAAAGGGAGGCTGAGAAGAGAACGGAGGAGGGCGGGGGCAGGCAGGGGCTACCCGGAAAGGGACGGCAGCGCGGCCCCTCTCGGCTGGCAGGGCGAAGGTGGGAACGGAGAACCACGTTCGACATATGTACAAGTGGACGCTTGGAAAGAAGTTAGACCTGGCTCAAGTTTCCTTGGAAATCACCGTTCTCCGCGCAACGTCACGACGGCGACCCAGGCCGACGCGCACGAACGGGGGCCGGGAGCGAAGGGGCCTC